CACAATAATATGACCGACAAGGCCGCGGCAGATCTTAATGGCCATTTCTGGCGTAATAGCCGTCATTAGCCAGACCTATCCAAATCCAGGATAGAAATCGGATAGAAACCGGTAAGAAAACGAGCCTGCGGTTGTGGATTCGATCCCCATGTGTTCTTTCAGCTGGGATTGGGTACGACTGGTTGACGACGGTTAATAAGCCAGAAATGATCATTGCGGTCTTCCTCGTTCTTTCTTCTGTACTATTCTTCTATTAGGTTAAGATTTCAAGTTGCAACCCCAGCCTTGTTCTGTGTCATAATTGGCCAAACCTGGCCAATCGCAGGTGAAGGAGAAGTTTTTTTCTGAAACACCGCTACCCAACTGCAAATAAGGACTTTGGCGTTTCATTGCAACAATTGGGCATTAGAGACCCTTAACTAGAGCTTGAAAGGACAATTTCTGGCTTGCTAGCCCTTACCAGCCGGACATATCCAATGTCATAACGGTGAAATCTGTCGTGTGTCACTGTCTAATTACGCCTTATGAAATACCCAAGGAAGGTCCAGAGGTTTAAGGTCATCGCGTGGGCACAGTCGCCGCGAAGGCATATGACCTTGAGGCAGTCCGCTGTGGACAAAGGAATCATTGTTCGCAGTCGGTCGCAGGCGCGATGCGTCAGAATTGCTGGCCTTCACTTAGACTAGGCTCCTAACATCCAACCCTACATCTTGCAACCCCATGGGAAATGGACTGAAACAGGCAACACAACGAGCCTGTGGTTTAAAAATAAAAATGTTGAACTTTTAATCCACAGGTCGTGGATTCCAGCCTCAGGTTATCACCTGTGATTGGCTATGGCTGGCTGATGACGGCTAATGAGCTATAAATGACCATTTCAGTCTTCCTTATTCTTTTGTTCGTACCATTCTTCTTCTTCTAGGTTAAGGTCAAAAGTTGTAACCCCAGTCTTGTTCTTTACCATAATTGGCTTAACCTGGCGGTGTCCGTGTGTCATAGGCTTCCATTCCTTGTCTAGTTGCCAAAAACCACTTTCATGCTATCGCTTTTGTAAGCAAAATTATTCAATGCTTTCTTTAAATATTCCTGACAGGCGGAATTTAGACGTCGAGCGACCCACATACACAAATCTCAACCGTCTGATCGCCCAGGTTGTCAGTTCAATTACCGCTTCTCTGAGGTTCGATGGTGCCCTCAATGTTGACCTCACCGAATTTCAAACGAATCTCGTACCCTATCCTCGAATCCACTTCCCATTAGCCACCTACGCACCGGTGGTCTCCGCTGAGAAGGCCTATCACGAGCAACTGGCTGTTGCCGAACTCACCAACGCCTGCTTCGAGCCAGCCAATCAACTAGTGAAGTGTGACCCCCGGCACGGCAAATACATGGCCTGCTGCCTACTATATCGGGGTGACGTGTCACCCAACGAGGTGAACGCGTCGATCGCTTCGATAAAGTCCAAGCGGACCATCCAGTTCGTTGACTGGTGTCCAACCGGCTTCAAGGTCGGCATTAATTATCAACCGCCCACCGTGGTGCCCGGTGGCGACTTAGCCAAAGTCCAGCGTGCCCTTTGTATGATGAGTAATACAACCGTGATTGCAGAAGCGTGGGCCCGTCTGGACCACAAATTTGACCTGATGTACGCAAAGCGCTGCTTTGTACACTGGTATGTGGGCGAAGGCATGGAAGAGGGTGAATTCTCCGAGTCCCGTGAGGACACAGCTGCTCTGGAGAAGGACTACGAGGAGGTCGGCGCCGACACGGTGGAAGGTGAGGGAGAAGAGGAAGGAGAGGAATACTGAAGCGGCGGCGATCCCAGACAGCTTTTATACCGGCATTGGTTTTTACTCTTCCGTGATGACGCACACTACAAATTCTTGCCAACAAACTCGCAATGTACCTGCTGTGATTGCATTTTTATAACGGCCCAACCGGCATCCAAAGGAAGTCTGACTAAATCATCGGTCATTCTTCTTGGTTAGGCTTTCGGAAACAATGATCCTCAAATAAAGATTCAATCCAAAGTGTGGCTTTCTTTTAGTTGAGGACGGCAGTCGGCCTATGATGTGGTGGGAACGAATTCGTGGTTCAGTATGGGCATTTAAAACTGCATTCGCATAGTCAAAACAGGGATACTTTTGAAAAGTTTTCCAAGCGGGAAGGTAGTTTATTTAATCCGCCTAGTCTAGGTGCTTTCCGAAACAGCAGTGTTTCGTCTTTATTGACTTCTCTGATTCTGTATCCAGCAGTCACGCGTTCGTCAAACCCAATGATGTGACTATCAGGTCAGTACGGTACTATTAAACACATAGTAAAGGATAAACGAAGTGCAAACCTTGACAACGGCTACACACCGTCAAGAGCAAGGGGAGTTGGCCAAATTGACTGAGTATAGATAAGGGAAAAATGCTAGTTCAATATCGAGCGTGTGTGTGTGTTAGTGGGAAAGGGGGGCGCCCGCCGCCTTTATGTGACTTCAGGACACAGTTCATGCGGCATCCTATTGGTCTGAATCACCAGCGCGAAAAAGTAGGGAT